TATCATTAATGAAAGTATTTATAATTGCAGTTTTAGAGTTGTCATTGTTTGCTTTTTTGGCTAATTTGATTAAATGTTCAAGTTTTTTAAGAAAGAGGTGTAGCAAGGTGCAGTGTGGAGTATATTGGTGATTGTAGCTATATTTGCGACTAATTTTGTTAGGGATAATATGAATAGCAGTACTAATAATAGAATGCTCAATTTTGTGCCAAGTAGTTTCTAGGGTTTCTTGAGTATGTAAATCAAGAGAGACTCGATGTTTGTTAAGTATTAAAGTTAGATGATCAGCAAATTCTGTCCACATGTCTTTGTTCATAGCTTTATAGTTAAAGATTCTGTGAGAGATACCTATATATCATCGGGGAGCCTTACTATATGCATTAGAAAATATCTATGATGATAAGAGGATTAAGGGTAGGGTTTTTTTCTAAATTAGTAATAATTAAATAGATGGATCGATTTTGCAGATCGTTAATGTGATAAAAATAGTAGCTAATAATTTTAAAGCATTTTCCTTTATTAGAATTTTATAATTCTAAGCGCCTTTACGCTTTTTACTAGCCTTTATTAATAATTTCCAATCTAAAATAGTTACAAAATCTAATGCATTTTCTTTTAAACCCACCAAACTAGATGAATATGATAATGAAGTTATTTCTTTGGAGTACTTAATTTCAACTTTTTCAGTAATAATTTCTAATAAAATCAACGAATCGATCAAATATAAGCAATCTTCATTAAAAATTGAACTTTCAGAGAAGATTCCATAACCTTCTACAGAACTTAGATCTTTACTAATAGCATTTTTTTCTTTTGAACCCATAAAACAATCGGCAATATCATCTCTTGAGATTCGTAATAACTTAGGATCTTGGCTGATAACTCTTTTTATCAACTAATTTACAATTCTTACTATCCAACTTACCTTGTTGCTAACATTTCACTACTCAGTAGAAGTGGCTTCACGTTGACAACAATTATCACAATTATGACACTCTGGAATATCAGGATCTCTGAGCCATGCAAAAATTTGGTATGCTATTTGTTGTCTACATTTAAATTTACACTCACAATAATGTACTATCTCTAATAATTGTTTTCTTTTTTCTTTTAAATACTTTTCCTGATTTGTGAGAGCTACCATTTCTGTCAAATCAGATAATTTATTAAATTCTTGAGATGTTGCGATATTTTCTTCTTGTATACTATATGAGATATAGTAAATAATAATTGATTTATCTTATATATAGTTGGTTATTGAATTACCAAACTGAGACTGTATCATTTCACTAATAATTACTTCAAAAACACCATATTTATTGTTACAACTGATGCTGAAATTCAGATCATTTTAATATGAAAATTTAAAAATTTTTTTAGCATGTTCTTGTTCGCTTTTTTTTAGGTTTAGGTTAGGATTTAGGGTTAGAATTGATAATTAAAGAGTATATGTAAATTTTAGCAGGGTTTATATTTTTAAATCGAGACTCCAAATTTCAGCATCGGCTGCGACATTTATTAATATTAATTTTACTATATTTACAGATCATGAATTTCTAGATAATTAATTTTTAGACAATAAATTTATAGACAACTAATATTTATTCGTAAACAGTATATTTTATTAATAGCTCATTTTATTATCAAGTTTTTTATAAGATATATTTATCTTTAATTCTAGTCTAAATCCTAAGAACAATAACTAGAATTACTTTGTTTATAAAATAAGCTATCAACGAAATATACTATTTATAAAAAAGTTGTCTGTAAAATATGGTTTGAAGTAATTGTTAATGTGTTAACTTATACCTTTCATGCCTACTATAAAGAATAAGTGTTAAAATATGAAGATCAGCTCGAGAAAAAAATATTACATTACGCCCACCATTACCATCACGACCAGCACAGCCTATTTCTTGAATAAAGCTATCAAGAGATATCAGGAATGTAGTATGTATTATAGCCCTTACATCCGCTACATTAATTCTCATTCCAAAAGCATTTGTTGCAGACATAAATTTAATCTTACCATTTTTCTATAATTTTAAAGTTGTATCATGATCTGCACTTTTCATACTATCATGATATATTCCTATATTTTGGGACTCATAGTATTTACTAAGTAATTAACCAACTGTAATACAGTCAGATACAGATGCTGAATAAATAATTACTCTACCATTTGGTATAGAGTCAATAATTGAAATTATAGCTTGTACTAGTTTTTCTTTTCCACGTGATTTTGAAATTACTTCAAGTTTAAGATCAGATCTATAAATCTTGTTACTTCAGATAACTTGTAATTTAGAAGGTGTTACAATAGCATGTAATTTCTCTGCAGTATTCAAGATGTATGTCGCAGTTAAAAAAAGCATTGGAACGAATGGAAAATCATATTTTACTATATTTAACTTAGTCCAGGAATTTCTAGCAATTTAATAAGTAGTTAGTTGGCTTTTTAGTAGTTATTATGTGTATATACTTACCTAAAATATTCATATTCTTTAACACAATGGGTTTCATCAACAACGAATTGTAATCCTCTTAATGAATTAATTTTTTTTAACATATTTCTGAATTTTATATTTAATATATATTTTTTAGGTGTAAATAGTAATATTTTTGTTACAGACCAACTCTTTCTGACGATCACTTGGTCAACAACAATTTACTGAACTACAGTTAGCGATATAGGAAAGCAACATAGTGGATACAGCAATATTCTTGGTTTTGCACTAAGCAAACTTGTTGTCGACAAAGTCTACAATACGTGAAATACCGAGGAGCGGGCGTATAAGAATATTAGGCGGGTTTGTGCCTTGGGTCAAGTTTTTCTTT